GAGGAGGAGGAGGAAGATAAAGGTTACAGGGACGGGGAAGCCGATGATGAGGAAGATGGAGAGGGTGGTGAGGAAGAACAGGGTCAGAAGCGAAAAGTGAGAACCTGAAGATGAGGGAGAAGACGATGATTAAGTGGAATCACCTATTTTGAAAACAAACAAACAAAAAATTCTATTGTGACTTGACTGTTTGTACTTGTATCCTTCCCCACCTCCAAATCCTGCCCCCTGAAACTTACATTTTTCTGATTGTAACCTTGCTGGGGGTCGCGGGGGTGGGGGGGAGGGAGGGGGTGGGCTGGAATAAAATACTATTTTTACTGCCACTCTTATTTTCCCTCTCCTTTTTCTTTGTGTCTGATTTTTTTCCCCCTGTAAATACAAAATAACTGAGCACACACTGAGTGAGCATTTGTCTCTCACTCGCAAAGAGGATGACTTGCAGGTCTCCTGTATTTCCTGGTATGTTCCATGCCCCCGGAGGTGGCCAGAAGGCCAGGAATGGCCCTAGTCTGATCACACCAGGCCCAGGCGGGGCTGAGCACCAGCCCCTTTAACTTGCTTTGGTTCATGAGATTTCTGCATTTCTCGGCCTGCTAGAGGCATCCAGCGCCCTGGTTTGTAAATAGCAAGCTGAAGGCAGTTTTAGCACTGGCTTGGAAACATTTCTTTCTCTTGTCCTTTTCCCCTTGGATGGTGGTGGGCTTTGCTCTACAAAGAGGATTCTCATGTTACTCCTGGAAGCTGAAAATGGAAGGCTTATGAGTTACAAGTAAAAGGTATTTGCTAGTGATTAACTAAAAGAAACCCTCAGACTTCAACCTCTTAAAAAAAAAAAACTGTCCTATCTTGTTCTGTACAATATTAGATGCTTTGTTTCACAAAACAAACAAAAACGACAGGAGAGTTCTTCCATGTATACTCCTGGGCTTAGAACATTTTTACAGACCTAAGCACTGGAGAGATGTCACTGCATGCAAGCTGGGTTTTGTTTTGGTTTTTGGTATTGTTTGTTTGTTTGTTTTTTCATACACCCAAGCATGGAAAAACTAACGCAGAATTGCATTTTCTTACCTAGTGGAGATCCGAAATGACTGCAAATTCATAGTGCATGTACAGGTTAGCATTTGTGCTCCTTCCTCTTCAGGGTCGCTTTAGAAGTGATGTGTTATTTCTCAACCCGTGTTTCATCTATATAAAAGACCATCTGCACCAGTTTTTCTCCTGCCCCTCAGAAAAGCCAAACATTTGAGTTTTATGTCTGTTTGTCATTGATAAATTTCAATAAATCTTTTTACACGATTTAAAAAAAAGAAACATTTGTAGGAGTTTAGCATAGCTGCCTTATACAAGTTCTTGGTCAGTGGACTTTTATAATCTAGGTAAAGGACTGTTCAGAGGATTTTTTTTTTAAATATTAGTAAGGGTCTAAAGAGTCTCACTACATAGATCGGGCTCGTGGTGATTCTCCTGTGTCCAGCCTCCCAAAGAGCTGGGATTACAGGCGCACGCCACCACGCCCAGCGGGCACAGCCTGCCTGGGATCGCGAACTGCAGCCACTGCATCTTCCAAGCAGGAGCTTTAATCCGCTGAGCTATTTGGCCGGCACTCCGAGGATGTTATAGTCGCGAGGCTGGAGCTGCTTACTGGTAATGCCTTGGGGACCACATGCTAGTCCACTAAGAACCAGTGGGAGAGAAGTTAGAGAAGCTGTCACTTAAGCTATTCAGTACTTCCACAATTTCACGGTATCAGATAATTGTTCTATCAGTCATCAAGAGTTCATTTATAATAAGTTCAAAATATGGAAACATCAAATATGTTGGCTTCCATAGGAAATTTATTTTATAAAGTATTTCAGTTCAGCACCTTCCTCCTCAAACCTGTCTGGACTAAATCAAGGTTGACGCTAACCGTTCATTAGAGAGAGAGCCCTGCCATCTTGTGGCTGAAGACATTGGCTGAAACAGAACAGCACGCTTCCAAAGGCTGTTCTGATTATGCAGAAAGACTCTTTTCTCCGACAGTCCTCTATTCTGATTTTAGGGTGGTACGCACCCACACTTTACGTAAAAGCATTTTAAACAATTTTAATGGCTTCTTCGCGGCATTTATTTTATTTTCTTCTTTATTTGATAGGCAAGAACGTGGGAGAAACGCACCCGTCAGAGGGAACCGAATATTTTCATTCAGAAGAAAGGAAGGACTAACGAAGGGCGCTGTTTAGAACACACAGGTTTGGCTGGTGCTCAAAGCCACACCAAGCCGCTGTGTACCCCCTAGTCAAAGGATAAACTACAACTCCCAGCCTGCTCTGCGCGGCCCGGCGGCTGCGCAGACGCGTGCGCGTGGGCGGTCATGGGAGTTCAGCATGGCGGCGTTTGCAGATTTAGACCTCCGAGCGAGTTCTGATCTGAAGGCTTTGCGCGGAATGGTGGAAACTGCCGCTCACCGTGAGTCTCGGCTTCGTGGCCTCACAGTCTACCTATTCCTGTCCCCAAAACCATCGAGTTAGCTTAGGTCTCGCGGGAGCTCTGGGAAATCCCTGGAGCCTGCCAGCCTCGGAGCTGCCCTTTTGAGAAGCTCGAAAGTTTTGTTGTTCTGTTAAAATGCTCGTAATTGCATTTTTAATGAAAACTTAGGGAGCAGAGGCCTGGCAAGAGATTTGTGTAGACTCCCACAGCGGAGGCGTGCCGGATTCCAACTGTACTTTATCTCAGCCAGTGCTTTTGGTATCAGCCTTTGCCGAGGTCTCGCGTGTCTGAGCAAATGTGAGAGGCTGGGAACGCGAGCAGGGAGTGCCCGGGTTGTCACGTCTTGTCACGATAATATTCAGAGGGTCGGCTGAGGTCGTAGCCGACCCGAAAAGTGGACACATGGTCAGGACGTTGGAATGCTACTCGTGTTTGAATCAAAAAGAAGAGAGACCTGGGCCCCTGTTGGGACCCTTGGAGTTAGTCACGGTTCGTGTCTCCCTTACACTGTACAGTATGGGGATCCGGGGGTTAAAGAGTAAAGATGCAGTAACATGGGTTCTTGACAGTCGTCCTCGGCTCATTGTGGAAGCTGATTGTCGCTACTTTTCAGAAGTTATGGTAGAACCTCTCTCTGCAAAGTGAGTTACCATTTCTTCTTGTTTTTTCTCTGTCTCCCCTTTTTCCCTCTCCCTTCTCCCTTCTCCTTTCTCCTTTCTCCTGCCATCCTCCCTCCCTGATCAAACTCAGGACCTTGTGCTTACCAAGGAGGCACTTACACCACTAAGCTATCTGTCCGGCCCAATGGGTATTATTTTCATGTACAGTAATCGATTACATCTGCATGTATACTTTAAGTGTACCAGTAGATGGCTTCTAATGCCTAACGTAATGTAAATGAAATGCGAATCGTTGTTACATTTATATTGCCCAGAGAATGACAAGAGAGAATCGTCTGTGTATGTTCAGTACCTACACATTATCACTGCATATTTTCTGTCTGTAGTTGGATAAAGCTGTCAGTAGAGGACCAGCTCTATCCATAGGGAAATAACTCTTTGCAGTGCAGCCATTAAATTTAGCATTGTCTTCCTGGAACATACTTAACTCATCATTAGAAAGAGGGGGACAAACATAGTGACCATGGTGCCTTTTTGTTGCTAACGTTCTGTGACAGTGGCTGTGAAACGAATTTTCCTGGATGTGACTAATTGGAAATACTAATTTCTCAGTGAAGCTTTTCCTTATGCGATCTCCTTATTTAATACATTATAAGCTTCTTTAGAAAAGGCCATTGTAGTACATACTATTTTTTTAGAATCACAGTATGCACTGGTATGTAACAGTTACTTCACTAATGCTCATGAATAAAGTGAAAACTTTTAAAAATACAGGATAGAAAAATCATAATGATTGCTTTATAAAGAATGCCCCAATTTAAAATATGCTTTGTAATATGTATGGTTAGGCATGTACATTTGGTCTTTATTTCTTTAAAAATTAATTGAAATTTATGACATGATAGAAAGTCATCACAATTTACAAAGCAAAAGGCAAATAATTTTTTTTGTCAGGTAGAAATTTTCAAAGAGTAAAGATAAAGTTCCCATTCTGTATTTATAATATGGTATAAGGAAGTAGTGATACTTTTTTTTTTTTCAGAACTGAGCATTGAACTCAGGCCCTTGCGCTTGCCAGGGAAGCACTTATTCCACTGAGCCATCACCCCAGCCCAGTGATACTCTTCAGACAAACACTATATTTAAAAAAAAAAAAAAAAAATCAGTAACTGATTGGGGTAGTACTCCTAAAATACCACGTGAAGCATAAAATGTAGGAGAAAGTTTTGTTGAAAAACAGTCTGACATTTTTGAAGGATAACAGGGATATTGTTTACTAGATAAAAGGATTTCCCAGGTGGGTATAACAAAAAAGTTTAGCATAAGGGCTGGCCAGATAGCTTAGCAGATTAAAGTCCCTACTTAGGCAGATGCAGGGGCCAGGGTTCAATCCTTGGCCAGCTGTGCTGCCCTGGCCCCTGGGGCTCACTGAGACAGTAATTGAGACTGGGCGTGGTAGCACACACCTGTAATCCCAGCACTTG